TAAATCCATGACAAGGATTTGTTCTGTAAAGAGATGAACAATGTTGTCTCTTTACTGCAGATGTATAATTGTCAAGCAGGTTTTGTAAAACGTTCATTTGCAGTTCAATTCAATTGACTGATCGCATATCTCTCCTCAATGTTTCCAGGGAAGTAGTTTTAATATTGATCATTTGCTCAATTGTACCTTTTTAGGTCAAGTTTATCAACATAAAGGAGAAACTGTCGAGCACAAACGAATCCAACATATGAAATCTGTTTTCGTGGACATTTTGTAATAAAGTGATATTTCGACATGAATCAAGGGGTATAAATAAGACTTCATTTATGGCGACGGTGCTCTAGATATTCATTTTCCAGGCATATTATATAGTTTAACTAAAACTCGCGGAGATCATAACCTGCGGTTCTTCTTAAAGTAAAAGACGAACAATAGCGTGACTGTCTTCAACGAGCTTTTTTCGAATGTGAAATAACACATATTCGCTCAAAAGCGAACACCAAACCAAGCTGGATATCAACTGTATACACCTTCTTCTTTTAAAACGTGAAACATCATATATCGACGTGCAGTAAATCAGTGTACACGCCAATGCGGTATATTTCCTATACTACCATCACGAAAAGACAAAATCACCAAATAATAACTATAACTTCCAAATACAGATTGATTCACAACTACAACCGATAATGTCTCGTTCTCACTACAAGCTTCCCCCCTTATATGAACATCCTTGTTGTGATAGCACGACTTTATATATAGCAAAATAGTCCAAGCTTATTTTTATAAAAAAAAAACATTAAGATTCTGATACCATACGGCCGGGCATTCGATAGGTAATAAATACTATACTTCCGTCGGTAATGTTGTAATCACTTAATAACTTTGTTGGATCAAGTTGGTGGCCAGCGAATATCAGACGTTGTTGATCCGGCTCAAGACCAAGTGTATTCTTAATCTTAGTTTTCAATTGTTCGATTTTATCTGAACATTGAACTTCGAATGCGACTTGATAGCCATCCAGTGTCTTCAAAATAACTTTCATTGTTCAATGACTTCTTCGACAGTGGTTTCTTGATGTTTTACCTGCAGAGAGTGTCGTACTTTTATTTAGAATATTGTTGGTAATTTTATTTGTCCTTTTATACTTTTCTCCATATCTCACATCAAAATAGTCAGAAGAAAAAAGGAAGAAACCAACATAAGTGAAGTCGTAACATGCGTATTTCATCGATTACGTCACTTTTGTAAAAAAAAAAAGGTGTCAACATGCTTACTTGCTGTTGTTCAGACCATGGCATCACAAAATGAGGATAATGATGCTTAGCTTGAATGTTCTAAAGACTTTACATGTACATTTCATAGAGTTCAAAATGCTCCGTGAAGGGATTATTATTCTTGAGTAAATAGTCTCGACATTTACATTGCATTCGAACATAACACTATAGATTTCATTTCTCAAATGAAATTCTATAACGCTAAATCGACTAAGCAGAATGAATCGAACGCCTACTTAGCCTAATGTAAAATATGTTTCTTAAAAATTCGTAAATTACTGTGTCTCGATCAATGCCGTTGACGTCATTGTAATCAAATTGGAAAATATCACCTTGCTTCATCTCTGAATTCAATAACGCTATCTCTGTCGGAGAATTGGAATCAAATTCAAACCTCCATCACTCGTTATTAACTGCCCCCTGTCTACATTTTAGGCAATATTGGAAATCTTACTGTCATAGTCCTATTTTCTCAACATACGATACGTCTCAACCGTCTGCGGGCCGTATACTTCCTTGTTGTATTCGCCACTAGTTTCAAACTAAATAGCATATTCATCGTATTCTGTAAATGTCGAACTTATATAATTCAATTGTCAGTGTTTGTCGGTCGATATGTTTTGTGTTCGATATCGATTGATCGATGGATGAGTTCGCAGAGCGTCGCCAAACGTCTTACTATCGAGAATGAGCGATTCGACCCATATTTCAATGATGCTTGTGCAATCTTCTTCACCATTCATGGTGTTCTGATTATCTTTGTATATGTGCTGCTCCTTGCGCTAAAGGGTATATTCGTCGAAGTCGTGTTCGCGTTAATCCATTTCACCTCGAAATCATCATGGGATCATGCACACCAAGAGACCGGCAGCTTATTCGATTAACTTTCGGGCAAATTGTAGTATTCCTAATATTCATTATACCATACGGAATCTATACATTGTATGATCTAATATCAAGTTCTCAAGTGAAAAGCGTCGATCAACGTGCAATTAAAGGATTTGTCAATAGTGTTCTTTTGACATTGAATTGAAGATCATTTTGATTTATTGATCTCTTGAGATTTATTTAGATCCCGTTTTACACAAACACATTAGCATCGAGGATCTTCCGTGAAGAATGTATTGACGCCGCGATTCGCGCTTGTACAGCTGTTTGTCGACGATTTTCAAACTTAGAGTACAGTTTTTTATTGTTGTTCTTCTTTACAAAAGTTATTGCGCAGTAGCGATTTTTCTTACATTAGTAAACAACCTTTAATGACAATTGATATTGAGTATGCTTTCTTTCTTTCGAAAGAGAAAAAAAGAATTTACTGATTGTCGTTCTTGCATTTTCATCCTCTAAAAGTTGAAAGCTATGTCAACACATTCAGAAGTAGCATGTACAGCTGCACAAACTGATCATCGATATCATCCGATTCCAATACCTGATAAAGTGTCAGGATCACCACATCCTCACGCTCAAAGAACTTTTGGCTCGTTGGTGTATTTTTATATAGGCATTAATAAAAAAAAGGATAGATATACACTTAGAATAGATGAGGAAACAATTTTGCAGGTACTTTTTGTGTGTACTCAGCGTAAGCCGTTCCAAAATGCGCTCGTAATTCTTTTTCTTCAATGTAGATGCGGTATAAAAATATCAATGTTGGTGGTATCACAATACCAAATAAGCCAAGCCAATTATTGATCAACAATCCTAAACCGATGAGTACCATCAGAACGCCAGTGTAGGATGGATGCCGCATTTTTGCATACCATCCCGATTGAATTAATGGCTGTTTGTCATTGACGCGAACTGTCATGGTGAACCATTCGCCAAGTTGTTGAATGGCTTGTCGTCTTATTAGATGGCCAGTCATGATTAGAGCAAAACTAATTGGAAATGCAACGATGCATCGCGAGAAAGTACCAGAGAAGATCTTTAGGCCATAACCGAGACGAACAAAATGAATTGAAGCACCCATTGAGCAGATGACGATAAGCCAGATGAAATGAAATGTTCCATGGTCTTTTGATTTCGAATGTGGATCTGTTTTGCTAGATGATATTTTTGAAAATTGCTTAAACAGTTCAAGGAGAAGCCCTGGGATTCCTAAAGCAAGAAAGAGTATGAGATCGAAGTCAAAGGCCATTTCGTTTGACAAACTTTGCTTCGAAGTAAAGATAAACAGTAATATTTCTGTCTGTAGTTTACCACACTACATTCTTTTATGTTCTATCAGTGAATAGATGTCAGGCGAATAAATCAATGAAATGTTATCATCAAATAGTATGCAAATTTTATACATATATCAACGACAAAATATTCCTATTCAAACGATTCACTAATAGAGATGTATTAAGTGCTGAGATTTCTTCGCCCTGATCGATTGCACACAGGGCGTCATCCACAGTCAGTTCGATGAGAACACTCGTTTGATGTTTTTCTTAGTTTTATCGAATAAAAAGTAATGATTAAAACTCTTAAGATCTTATCAACTCGTTTGTTGATCAGGTGAAGTATATTGACAATACTCAAATACGTCCTGTGCTTTCTACATCACTGCTATAAAAGAATCGGATTCTTTTTATATCCGGAGATTGAGTTCAGCCGTCAACTTAAGTAGAGAAAAATCTGATAACGATTATTTCTTCTGCATTCGAAGGTAAGACAACAGCCAGGTGCGTAAAAGATGATTCTTCTGAACAAATTCAGCTTTTCATCAGAACTGTATCTAATATAATTAAAGAGCCGTTGAGTAGCATGTTCGGTTTTATATCTCATCGTTAAAGAGTCATAAATTTTAGTCGATAAGGACGACTATTAACTGTTTCTTTTCTATTTCAAAGTCTCAGACGAGAAGTTAATGTAAGAAAGATTTATTTTCTAGATGGAACATATCGAAGACGGCATTGAACCAACTCGCATCGAAGGCTCATGCGATTTGAAATTGGATGATCTGAAATGTGGAATATGTGAAAAGATTGTTTGGAATGTAGTGACTTGTGAAAACTGCGGCGCACTCTTTTGTTCCGCGTGTGTTGCAAATGCATCTGATCGTTCGTCAAACGAATGTGTCAACGGATGTCGGTNAACATATCGAAGACGGCATTGAACCAACTCGCATCGAAGGCTCATGCGATTTGAAATTGGATGATCTGAAATGTGGAATATGTGAAAAGATTGTTTGGAATGTAGTGACTTGTGAAAACTGCGGCGCACTCTTTTGTTCCGCGTGTGTTGCAAATGCATCTGATCGTTCGTCAAACGAATGTGTCAACGGATGTCGGTCATTTGTCGAAACGAAAGTCCATCGATTTATAATCGAACAATTAGCTCGATTGAAAATTGTATGCTCTAATCAACCACTTGGATGTATTGCGGTAAGTGTGCAATGCGTGTAGACGTGTTGCAACATCATTTGATTGTAGATCGTTCACTACGATGATCTCGAAAAACATGAAAAGGAATGCGGATATCAACAGGAAGAATGTTCTGGTTGTCATAGGCTACAATTGATCAAAGATTATACGAATCATCTCGAAACATGCCTTATGATTGCCGTTGAATGTCTAAAATGTCATCTGGCTATTCCGCGAGGCGATATACTACTGCATACAGAATGTCGATGTCTCATAGAACAATTGAGAAACAATTTAAATGAACATAAGCTACACACAGCTGAACAGTTCAAACAAATTGAAGAAGGTTTGAAGCGAAACGATGAATTGCAACAACTTCGAAATGAATTTGAAGAATTTCGACGACAAACTGGAGATCAAATAAAACAAATCGTAGAGCTCAATTATCGTTTACAAGAAAGATTCGAAACCAATAAACAGCAAACAAACGAACAAATTCATCGAGTGGAACAAAACCTTCAACAACAACAGCAACCGAACACGAATATACAAAAAGCACTCAAAACACTCGATCGTAGATATTCGTACACATTATAACATTCAGTATAGTAATTTTGTCTTTGTATTTTAGTCTATGAGAAAGCTGACATTCGGTGTTCATGCGGTGGCCGATTCTGTCAACGTTGCGGTGGTTGTCGCGATTGGAAACGCAACGGCAAGGGCTGGAAACGCATTAGTAATGGTTGCCGTTTCCACCCGAACACTGACGCTGGTGATGTTTGCCAATGCGTCTAACACCTTCTCGACAAATAAAACTTTGAAACTACTAGTTTTAATCTATAGCAAATACTAATCATTTAGTGTAGGGTTGATATTTTTTAATTCATTTATTTCCTTCGATTTATTTCAAAAATAAATTCCCAAATATTTAGCATTAAAATCATAAAGGATGATCGATGCAAACGGTTTTTTTTTCTTCTGAAGACCTATAATAACATAGGGAGAGAGCAAATGAGTTTTGTATGTTCAGTGATTTAACACTGAATGTTCGGATTGACACGCATGATTTGGTTATTAGCACAATCGGATAAATACATAATATAGTTATCGACGATTTTCATGAACGAAACTGCTAGGCCTGGAATCGTATAGTTACCTACAAGAACTCCTTGTTGATCGAAAATATAAACAGTGTTCGTTTCTTGAGGAACCCACAATCGACCGCATTCATCAATGACTATATTAGTAGAACCACCGGAAGTCGTAAGCATGGATGCATTGACGATTAATGCTTCATTCCATTGTCCAGTAGTAGTATTCTTGCTATAGCCAAAAACTAACTTTTGAGCGTACGATGTCACGTAAAAATAGGAGTCATTGACATACCATACACCGTGCGGACTAAGGTTGTTAACAACTTGAGAGTAAGTGTAAATGTATTGAGGTGGTGCAATACTCGTTCGATTGAAAAACAAAAGACTTTGGTTTTTATTCGAAGTGATCATCATTGTTTGGCTTTTGTCCAAAAATAAGATACCTCGCGGATCTTTAATCAATGCCATAGATATGTTCGACACCGGCGCAAGTGTTGTACTGTTAATAGCATTCATGAGAACTCCAGCATTTGGAGTAGAGTAAAATACACCTTGATCATAAGCTACTGTCATTTGATAGTAACCTGGAATAGCAGTACGACTAATTGAAGTTAGATCTGTCGCATTAAATCGATGCAGATAATTTAGCGACATTTCTACTGTGACTAAATAGCCAGAATCATCGATGAGCATATCGCGAGGATTGGATATGTTGGCAAGAGTCACGCTCGCTGATTGTAATTTGTTTAGTAGGTAGTTTATATCCGGCATACAACATAAACTTGCATTTGGATATGTTTTTTGCGGAAAATAAAGGCGAGCTGCGGTCATTGACCGAATGCGATAGGTTGGAGGGAAACTATAGAACACCTGGCAAGTTCCATTAGGAAACCAATTCACTGCAGGACACGATAATGAGGATACGCACAGACATTGACTAAGGGTTTGATTGCTAATTGTCGTACTATTCGAAGTATATCCTGGTTGTAGAAAAACGTTATTAATATGAGGAATTTGACGACAGTTGACTGAAATTATCGTCAAAATGACACAGTAGACGATCAGATGTGCCATCGCGCACAGTTGTGGGATATCTATGAAAAAGAATCTATTCTATTCTTCAGTTTAGAAAAAAAAACGAAGGGCAGAGTGAGAAAGAAGTTAGGTACATTTCACGTATCAATAAAATCATGATTGAGCATGAACAGGTCGGTGCTCGATACTCATTAGAATATATTTCTCAAGTATTGAATGGCGAATTGAACATCATTATATCATGTCTGAAATCAATTTCGCCACAGCATTTACTTGAAGAATGCTCAATTCAAGTGGGAGAGATACTTTTTCTTTCAATGCAGTGCATTACCGACACTTAATGGAGTATGGGATAAAAGTTTTGAAATAGTTTTCTGCATCTAGAGCAATAATAACTCCTATACATTCAACAATAACTATCATTCCATTTTTTTGCTACTTATCTTTAAACGAAACATGCACTTTATTGTACATCTATCGATATTACCTTATTGGTGTGCTTCAAAGTATGTTTATTCAGATGATGTTCAAATTTATTCTGTTTTTGCGTTGTTTTCATTGCAAAATAGAAAAAAAACTACTACGACAGTTGAGGCATGGCGGTTATTGTTAATGGAACTTGGTCAGGATAGTCCCCTGTCAACCATGAAATGTATATCAGCTCATCACCGATAAGAATAGGGCAGAATGGAATTGTTATTTTGCTATCGACTGTGGTAATATTAGTTCGATGAAGAATTTTACCCGTATCAACGTGCACAGCCATGAGAAAGAGTTTGAACGATGTTTTGGTTGATAGAACTAACACATAAAGCACGCGAGTATGTTCGTTAAAGGTTGTGCATTCGGTCACAAGATCAAACTCATTCATTTCAGTCATCGTCACTAATCCTATTTGCCAACGAGAAAGACCTGTAGTTGCATCGAGAGCAATTGTTTGAGGTAAATTAACAAAATACACAGCATTATTTTGATTGTCCATTACGGGTGGTGTACAGTCTGTGTTCACATTAGAACTATTAGTATTTTTCCATTGCCAACGTTCGTACAATCCTGTGTTTTCGACCTTCCATCCTGAAACAACAAGAGGCCAGTCATGATCAGATAAATTTTGCCATGCTCGCACTACGATTCGTTCTTGGCTATTCAATGCAAAGTAACGATTACCACCGGAATTGGTATCATTGCTAAACGCACGTGTACCATTTGTATTCATCTTGTACATATCATCACTACCGCTAATCCAATAGATATCACCTGTAAGTGGATCTGTTTTGTAATCAGCTGAAGCATCCGAACCCATAGCTTCTGCATCAGTCCAGATCATTTCAAATGTTGTTGTATTGAAAGCGGCTGGCGAATTTTCAATGACAGTAGTGATGAGAAGATCTGCTTTGGTGTTCAATGCAAGCGGTGCTAAGAAATTCGAACTGATTCGATATGTATCGAGACATTCTTGAGCAGGATGATGAGTATCAGGATAAAAAACTCGACATATTTTCGAAACGAATGTTCCACTATCAGCCCACGACGATGTGTAATATAGAAGATTGTTTTTCTGATCCGAAACAATATTAGACACTCCGACATTGATCTTAAATGAAGCAGATTCGAGATGCATTTTCCATCGAATCTCTCCGTTTGGTGTGAGACACAGCATATAGTCACCTAAGAATATCAAATTATATATTTGAAAGGAATAAGATCAAATATAAATACCAGAGGAGTATGGGGAGTCAGTGATGAATAGATACAGATCACCGTTGGCGCCAGCAGCACTACCAAATACTGTCTTATCTTGTGTTGACGAGTTAAAAAATAATGTCCACGTCGTGCCGTTGTATCCGGTGGGTATTGACGGAATCAATCGACGCGTATTTCGAACATTACCCATCGATGTTGTCCAGGACAGTTCATCATTTATTTCCGCGTTTATTTCAATAATCAATACAAGTAAAAACGTGAGAACAAGAATGCTGGATGACATTCTTGTGTTATGGAAGCAAGAAGAGAACGTTTTACTTAGTTTTTTTTTTAATACGCAAATAAAAGAACAGGTGCCAGTATTATCATCATTATTTTGAAAATCAAATTCACGATTAAATATCATTTGAATTTTCTATAGAATGTATCGACTCGATAATCCCTGTCCTCGTAAAGTACACAGTACAAAGGTTAATCAGATGAATAGAACACGTTTTCGATCAGTGCAGTTTCATTTAAAAACCTTAGTGCGCCATTTGACTATGAAATACCGAAGACTGATTTCGTTATCTATTTCATTTTCAATAGAGACGGAAAAATTGTTTCGTACTATTTTTTTCAACATGGTTCTTGTATCACTTGTAACCAACCATGTTGAGATTGGTTGAAACATAGAACGATGAGTCAACAGCAATCTAAGCTGTGAATTTGCTATGTAGATCAGTATGGGACTCATTTACTGTAAGTAGTCTGATGTTTTTGCGTAGTATTATTGATCAATCTACACATTCAATTCGAGTGATCGACTATTCTATTAACTGTGTTTGCCTTCAGAGTTGAAGGATAGTATTAACTTGAAAAGTATACATAATTTTCTTTTTTCAAGCGAACAAAAATATGATTCTATTTTTCTTAGAGAATCAACGAGACAGTTGCCGCTGATTTTCTCATCTAAAATTCAATGTTTGTGCAGCATACGTTCATGTTTCCTACTGAAGTCGGTGCGACGTCATTTTATTTTGAGAACTTGGCGAACGATGAAAGGACGTGCAAGTTTGACACACAATCCGATTCTGCATTTGATCATTTTCACCACAATTCATGCGTATATAAGTAATTAAACTAATTAGTGTATTTTTATTCCTTTTACATATGCACTTTATACAGCTCCATCCTATAATCAACCTTATTTGGGTCTATGCCCAACGTGGTCTAACAGTGGCATTACATTTGCTAGCAATAGCGTGTTATCTGGAGAGCCTAGACGACTATTTATTAACACTGAGAATTCCATATACGTTTCTGTTGACGCTGATCAAGTTTTAGTATGGTCTGAAGGAAGTAACATAGTGAATCTCAATATTTCGAATAATGTAACCGGACCTTTTGGTATTTTTGCCACTATTGACGGTTATATATACATTGCGAATAGTGTTCCAAATCGTGGAGTATTTCTATGGTCACCAAATGGAACCAATTCTACAAAAGTGATGCCAAATACTAGGAAATGCAGCGCCCTTTTTATAGATATTAACAATACTCTATATTGTTCGTGTGATATAGAAAATCAAGTGTTAAAAGTCTCACTTGAACCCGGTTCACAGAATCAAACTACCGCAGCTGGTAAAAAGAATGTTAACGGATCTACATCGGATCTACTCAATAGTCCTATCGGAATCTTCGTTGATAGAAACTTAAGTTTGTATGTAGCTGATTCTGATAACGATCGAATTCAACTTTTTCTGTGGAATGAATTAAATGGAACAACTATTGCGGGCACTGGTGCATCAGCAACCATAAACCTTAAAGGTCCGTCCGATATTGTATTCGACGGCGATGGCTATTTATATATAGTTGATACTGGCAGAAACCGTATTGTTGCATCAGGACCTAATGGCTTTCGATGTGTCATTGGTTGTAAAGTTGGTATGGGTTCAGCTTCTTATCAACTGCATGGTCCCTTCAGTCTCAGTTTCGATACTTACGGCAATATATATGTCAGTGATCGATCTAATTATCGAATTCAAAAATTCATCTTTATAAATCAATCTTGTGGTACACTTCTAATGCATGAGATAACTAATCTGCTATTGTTTCTCTTTTTTTTGTAGATAACACGACACCCATTGACAGTACAACTACTTCAAACACAGATACCGGTAGGATTGTGCTTGATATTGCCTGCTCAGTTTGTTTACGATGACTGACCCTTTTACAGTGACAGTATCAACAGATGGTGTTACATCGATCAGTACATCAGCGTTAGTCCTCTCGACGAGTGTAGCAGTAACAGATGCTACATCAACGACGACCACAACGATGAATCCCTCATCATCATCTGAGACTACTACTTCATCACTAATACCGACTACATTAGTCACATCTTTTCTACCAGCAACCGTTTCAAATCATGTAGATACGAGTACTGTTCAGCAAGGTATAAATACATGTTCTCGTATAAAAAATCGAACATCTTTTCTAACTTTGACTAAAAGGTACATCCTTCGCATCATTGTTTACTCCGTCTGTATGCGCATCACCGACAGTAATGGGGCCGAATTGTAGTTTATCTACTCTTTCATGCGATAGTCTTCGACCTTGCTACAATAACGCCACCTGTATCAACAATAATACAGTGTTGTCTGGCTACACTTGCAATTGTTTACTAGGTTTTAACGGTACCGATTGTCAATACGATTATCGACCTTGTCAACCAGATACTTGCTGGAATAATGGTATTTTCATCAATGAGCGCGATTGATCAAAATCTGAATTTTCTTTTTCTTTGTAGGTATGTGTAACCAAACATCAAACACAAGTTTTATCTGTATATGTGTAAATGATTGGCAAGGTGAACACTGCCAAACAAAGATAAACCATTGTGAAAACATTACATGTTACAATAATGGTGTTTGTAAAACCTTATCACAAAACTACACATGCCAATGTATTGGCGATAGTTATTCTGGTCGACATTGTGAGCGCACATTGAGTAAAAGAGCTCTTCAACAATCAATCTCCAGATCATTTGCTTATGTTGCTATCATGGCTATAGCAATTGTTGCACTGTTTATTATTATTATGGACGTATCAACATACGTTTTTGGTATTGACCCAGTTAAATCAGTACGTCGAGAACTGCGTCGACGACCGAAATATAAAACAAAAAAGAAAGAAAAAAGATTTATTACAATCCAACGACCTATCTATATTGCATGAAACGATGAATGAACCTTTAAGTTTTGTTTCTGGCGGTCTATATACAAACTAGAAATAAACACAAGCCCATTCTTCAATATTTATAATTTATTCTCATGTGTGTTTTTTGTTCACATCGATTAGAATACGTCTTAATAATTTTCAACCAGCATATCGAACTTGTAGTTTGATCGATCCCCATCGTTCTCGAAACTATAAATAATCCATAAAGTATATTGGCAAACCCACATGCACAAAGCATCGATGCATCTCTTCATCATGTAGTGTTCTATTTGATTTGTTTGTCTTTCTATGTAACAACATTCTATACCACTAGTGAGTATGAAAATAGTCAGACTACATACCCATCTACGTGGTAAAAAATATGCGACAGAACGATGCAATGTACAAGTTTGTCGAAATTATACGAATGAAAGAAAGGAAGCAATCAGTTTATTGGTATAGCTTGATTGATCTTTAAAACACAGATCCCTATACCACACTTAGCTGTTGCCCCAATTTCGATGTCATGAACCGCATCCTCACCCTATTCTAAGCTATTTCAACAGAGAGCAACCCATTCGGTAATGGTCGATGGTTTTCTTTATTAATACGCATGAAATAAAATAATAAGTTAAAAAGATTAACCCTGCACAAGTGTTTGGCTGAGTGAACTAGGTATAACGTACTTCACTTTTTGGTTGAGATCCATTCTCGTAATTCTCTATCAAACGTTACAAACGCTCTATATGGTAAGAAAATTCCATGTAGTTCCTTCATTTCTTCTTTAACTACTTGATATGGGCTATTCTCTTTCATCAATTGTTGATAATAATCACATAGAACTCGTCCGTTTGGATTTCTATCTAATAATTGTAGCATTTCATCAATCTGCTTGTCATGAAAGAAGTTACGAACATCTTCGTTAGTCCAATCTAAGATTTGCTTATTTTCATACGTAGCATTGGAAGTTCCATCATTTGTGCTTGATTTTGTTTGGGTTTCAATCGTATCAGACGTCTCATCGAGAAGACTTGATTTTTTATTCGCTTGTTTGATGCCTGTTTGTGTCACAGGTAGTGATGGATTGTTCTTAACTTCCTTGGTTTTTTTCTGAGATTGAGCTACTGAATTTGAATTAGATGCATTTACAGGCTTTGGTGCCTCTTTCGTTTCTTTGTATTTTTTATCGTATCTTTCCAATTGTCTGATTAAGTCTCCAAATGCTCTTTCAAAATCATATTTGATGAAGTCGATATAAAGACGATCTCCAATAATAAGTTTGAGCCAACCATTAGGACGATAGTTGGCTTCCATTCTCAATGGAATTATTATTCGTTTCAAATCATTCGCGTACGTACATTCAGCTTGACAATTGGGACTTTCTTTGTACGCATTCGAATAGCAAACAAGAATGATTCGTGAATGTTCAATTGCCTCCGACATGCGTTCCGTTAAGGAGCCATACATTTGTTCCGTANTAGGACGATAGTTGGCTTCCATTCTCAATGGAATTATTATTCGTTTCAAATCATTCGCGTACGTACATTCAGCTTGACAATTGGGACTTTCTTTGTACGCATTCGAATAGCAAACAAGAATGATTCGTGAATGTTCAATTGCCTCCGACATGCGTTCCGTTAAGGAGCCATACATTTGTTCCGTATCAATCCAAATACGTGCATTCGTTTCCATTTTTAGATGTTTGTGAATCTGCATGCATAAAGTCGAATCTTTATGACAATAACTGATCATCATATCAAATTTATAATCTTTTGCTTGCTCCATAGCTAAACGCTGTTCTTTCGTTATCTGCTTTCCTGTGCTGTCTACTGGTACACCAAAGACACTCAATTTCACCGGCTTAGCAGCTTCCTTTCGTTTCTCTTCTTCAACTACCTTTTGTTTCATTTGCCAATCGATACCCTCAGCAACGCGTTTTAGTACATGTTTATCAGCATTGTCAGTACCTGATTTGGTCAAATCAACAACATAATCAACAAAAACTTTATTAGCTCGGAGTAGTTGAGCAGCTGACAAATCAAAGATGAGTGACCATATTAATTCCATCGACGGATATTGAACGGAAGCCATATCGAATCGTGTTTCTGTCGCACAGGTTGTTAAAAGAGTTAAACCATCTTGAGCCACAACTTCAGTTTTGACTTGTTCATTTTGTATAAAGACTATCATGGAAATTTCCCGTATAGAACATGAAGATTTTGATTCATCTACTCACTTTTTAAATGTATAATCGTATCACTCAATCGAACTTTCTGAAACGACTGACTTTCCATTTTCACTGCTTTTGAAATACAATTAACATACGAGGTGGCGATCTCGTTTGGTTCTTCTAAACGATCTACATCGTTGTTCATTAACGCAATTAATGTTTCACAATGGAACTTTGCGGTATACATATTGTTTTTCTTGCAATTTTTAAGTAGCACACGAATAATTTCTGGCTTTTCTTCGTCACTTAGCCCTCGGAGATAATCGACAACACAGGACTCCACCGATAAATTGTATAGTAATTCGACAGCAGCTAACACTAATTCTAAATGTTTTCCTGGTACTGTACTATCCACAACTTTTAATCCAAAACGTACATCGTAGTCAGTTACATTTTGAATAAACAATGGTAAATGGAGTAAACGAAAAAGATTCTCAACCAATACTGGATTCTGGCGGGCACAAGGACGAAAGTAGATCGACGGAGTGCAGTAATTCATTAATTTTAAGAACCGTACTATCACAACCGATAATGTGAAGTCTTTGGGTTGTTTTTTAAAAAGACGATTAAATAATGTATAGCTCCATCCAAACAGCGCCTGACAGAATATATCCAATTGTGATTTCGTCAACGTTGGTAAATGAATTTCGCTATCATCCATGAGTAGATATTCGGGAAATATATTTAGAAATACACGATGTTTCGCATCTCCATCAACTCGCAAGTTGAGTCCTTGTTCGTCGTCGTAGAAACGTTTAAGCTCTTGCTCATAGTAATTTAGTATACATTGTAAAATCAATGGAGTAGCGGCAGGATAAAGTTTTTCATAGATTTCAATATATCTAGATTTGAACTTCTCGATCGTGTAAATTTGGTCAAACAGCATTGCCAATATCGCATAACGAAAATCATCTGGTGAATATCGATTGTCTCGTACGCACGTTAAGCATTCTTTGAGAGCCGACAAAAATTTATCATTGAATACAAACGGAATGTCAAATGTCTCCACGATTGAATATATTGAATAGAAACAACGAACTATCACATCTGTAGTTGAACTGGTCCTGTGACCAGCTATTTTTACTGTGTTGAGCAAAAGGTCTTTTAATTGTCCAAAGAATGGTTGCGAAGTTAACGGTGGTTTCCATGGTATACTTTCAAGCTCTTGTCGACTTGATTTCAAAACTGATTGTAAACGCGTGGCTGTGTCGATCGTTGATTCGTTAACACCCGCCTTTTGTATTGTGAATCGACAAAATTCCAATGCAGCTTGTACTTTCGCGAATCCTTTTACGTCTTGAGAATCATATCGATAAGCACGTAGGATTTTATAAGCAGTATCAAGATCTTCAATTTTTGAATGTTTATCCATCGAGAACTTAAGAATTAAGATTTCAAAGGGTTTTCTAAAATAAGAACCTTTACTCACAAAACAAATTATTTGTGAAAGAATTAAGCGAACAGCATCGTTGTTTTATGCAGTGTGTACTTGGAAATTTTATTTTGAGGCTATATATATAGATTTTTCTTTGTTTTTCTTTTTTTTTACGCATTTCATTTTCATCGATTCATTTAAAAAAATTTTCCTTTTTCTTTACTTCAACCACTAGATTTATCGTATGACTTGACACTTCACCCTAAAATTGAAATAGACATGCTCATTATCGTATGCTGTTTGGAAATTTCCAACTTAGTCATTCATCGTTGATGCACGGTAGTCTCAGTTTCATTAAGTTCGTATTTCAATACAAACAGAAAACATATTCACCCTCACACCTTTAGTTTAAAGTAGCAATGACGCATATCAAAGGCTCATTTGTGTTAACTCGCTCACCTACAAACAATGCGAATATTCATATATCTGACATACCCAAACAATTCCTCTTGGCTACTTCTTTTAAACAAAAACGGCAGAATTTTTCAATTGATAAAATCCATGACAAGCGATCAACTGTTTCGTATAACTCATACGGTTTGGATGGCAGCGACGATGAGAATGGCTTCGAGCAATTGCGAACTGATAAAAGTTCATTATTTCCGGATGCTTTATATAACTCCGATCTGGATGATGATGATGATAGTGAAGTCATCAAAACAAATAAAGCCGCTTCTGCTGAAGCGTTATATTTATCTAGTTGTGAAAAGTATGGTGCCAAGCCTTCATCTATATTTATCAATATAATAAAAAATGGAGAAACATGTGTGAGTATTCGTCATGCAAGCATGAGTCCAATGGATATTAAAGCGATGATATCCTCTTTGGAAGTATGCTCCTCAATCACAAAGTTAAATCTAAGTGGAAATGAACTTGGTTCGATTGGTACGATTCATCTAGCTAAGTCAATCAAGCATAATAAATGTATCACTGAATTGAATTTATCTCACAATAATATTGGACAGAGTGGTAGGCTATTCTTGAAAAACGATAAATAATCAATTGCTTTTCCTTTTAGGTTGTGAAGCGCTTTGTCAATCGCTTCTCTTCAATTGTATGGTAAGTATATTAATTCTTGATGGTAATCGTTTCGATGATAAATGTGCTATATATTTGGCTGAATTACTCGCATCGCACAAATACCTTATTCACGTTAGTTTATCGGAAAATCTTTTCGAGAGCACATCAGCTGCACAATTGTTTGCCGAAGCATTAAGTAATAATGAATCAGTAGAACATTTGGATGTTTCATTCAATCATTTTCAACAAAAAGCAACTGCAGTATTTATCACATTTCTATCGAAAAACTTCCGATTACGATCACTCAATTTATCTTATTCAAGTTTTGGTCTGGCCGCATCGAAGGCATTTTCTTTAGCAATGCAAACTAAAATTTCACAATTGGAAGAGTTAGATTTATCATCGAATATCATCGACGATTCATGCGCTCCGTATTTAGCCAATGTATTGAGTACAAATGAATCTTTGAGAGTATTGAATCTAATGCAGAATCCTCTCAGTGTTGATGGATGTTACACTTTATTAAAACCGTTGCAAACGATGCCAACATCTCAACTGGAATCGATTGATATACGTGACATGTCTATCAAGAGTGAAGCATTTATAGTTTTAGCAAATGATCTAGAAGATCGACTCCCAAAATTAATTATTCGACGCGGAGAAAAATAATGATATCCGAGTCTTACGTAGTTTTATGAAAAGAAGTGATAATATATCTGTGTTTATTGCATTTTCAAATTCGACTACATAAAGATAAAGACATGTGTGTTCGACATAGGTGTTGTGATAAACAGTAAAATGCAAGGTCACAATATAGCACAAATTTCTGGATGTTTATTCATAAGAAAAATCGTTGTCAAGTAGAAAATATTGGATTCGGTGGATATGTTGCAAATCAAACAAAAAAAGCAAATATGTCGTTGAGACTTATGTGTGAATACTAGCGATGACGGCAAAGAATATAATCAGATAGATCCACCCAATTACTCCACCGATCGTAGCAAGAATATTGAACACTAATGCCAGAATGCTAAAAGTACGCGCTCCTGCAGCATCGTTGCTGTTCTTGTGGGAACGACAAATGATGGAAAAAATAAGAGGTAAAAGGCCGCCACCCCATCCAACGAATATATTGATAATAGACCAAATAAGCCAATCGTGAACTTGACTAGCATCACCTCCGTATGCGGGAGCTACGTAAACAACATTGGGTGGAGCGCCATAGGATGGTGAAGCACTATAAGTGGCCATGTTTCTTAGGAGTTGTTAAAGTGTAGAATTTTCATTAAAAACGCACCTTTTTATACAAATTTTTGACAGATAAGATAGTATTCTTCTTGGATTGTTGTTTGAAATGCGTCATCAGAGTAACACTGCTTAACAACGACAAGTTGTGCAATGACGTCAAATAGAGACTGCGTGCGTCAATGTTTATTTGTAGGTGGATGCGTTGTCCTGATATCAGCTCTCCCTAGTCACCGATGGTTTCCGAACGAAACGTATCATTATCAATTGGCAACAAGACAGTCTTCTTCTATTCCATTCCGACGATGTTTGACCGTCTATAGAAGTGCATACGGGTTATGCTACAGGTCCGTCCGTACTTGCGGAAAAAGAGATAGCAGCCGGATATATATATATATATATATATATATGCATGAGACTATTGGAGAATATCAAGAATGGGATCGGTGCGTTTCTGTGTTATTGATACGTGTCAACAAACTGCTGGAGCTGTTTGCATGTGTTGTCAAGAAACTTATTGCATTACTCACCTCAATGAACATTCCAATAGATTTAAAGCTGAATTGACGCCGTTATTGAGTGATCTGGAGAAGATTTCTGTCAAAATAAGTACTGAGTATTTGCTGATTCGTGCTCAATCAGTTAGTGCACTCAAGAAGTGGCAAAAAGAAGCTCACGAAGCAATCGATGTTTTCCACAAAAGAAAACGACAAGAATTCGAAGAATTTTTCGACAATCAACACGAAAATCATCGTAGAGAACACGCCAACTTACAGACTCAATTAGATCAACTCAAGAGCAAAGAAAATCTCGATCAAGAATACATTGATTCAATTATAAAATCAGTTCGATCATTCGAGCAACAAGTGAATCTCTATGAACATCTTCAATTAATACTTTCACCATTAACAATCGATGAGCAATGTGTTATTATTCATCAAAAGCTACCAATCGTCGATGATTATTTACCTCTTTCGGATCCACATCAAACTATAGAGATGAAAAGAAGATCGTTTTCCATTGCTGCGAATGATAATCTCATCTTAATAGAGCAAGATGCAAAACTATGCCTGATAGATCAGCAATTGACGATCATAAGAGAAATACCCTGGTCTCGAAGTACTATCTATGATATGATTTGGTCAAATACGCTCAAGGTGTTCTTTATCATTACTGGTCAAGATATCTTTACCCTTCATGAAAAAGCGGATATTGTCAAAAAACTTTCGATTACGGATGCAGACACTAAACATTGGTATTGTGGCACATGCACCAGTGATAATCTGTTTCTTTCAGTCATGGGTCTGAATCCTTTCATTTTCAAATACTCTCTTTTACCCTCGTTCCGGTTTACCAAGAACTACTCTTCTATCGTTTACCAACAAGAGGATATATTTATTCAAGATCTCTCCTCAAACGACCATATAATAGGTATTCTTTCGGAAACTAAACAGAAAACGATTTTGTTCGATATCTATTCGTCAACGTCTTTCCAACGATATTGGACAATCACACCTGATTGTTTCGCTGGTTTACATGGGAGTCGATGCTGTGCTTTGACGCATAATCAATGGATGATTATCAATCCGAACAATTCGCAGATTATCTATGTGTCTGCTGGTGGAAAAATATTCAAAAAAGAAAAATATTTCGCATCACCGATTCATGCTGTTCAACTCAATAACAATATTCTCGTGATATTGACAGAAAATGATCTGAATCTTCACAAGCTACTGTAAAATCTTTTCTAGAATTTATTGTTTTCGATATTAAAATAAAAAAAGACAGCAAGTTCATTTAATAGTTTTGTTATAGAAAACGTCCCAAACCGATTGTATTGGTGCATACGATGGCACATATTCATAATTTGAAAATTCATAACCGAACGCTTTGGTACCAATATGTTCCAGTACATGTGGTGCTGTTAGAAGTTTTGGCGCGGGTAGGACAAGTACGGAAACACGATAACCATATTTGATTGTTTCAGTGGAAAGCGGTTCGGCCGTGTCTTGTTCAACAAGTGTGATTAGATCAGGTACACTGGCGAGAACATCTCCGTTCTCAAGCCGTGCAACGAGATTTTCATTTTGAAAATCAATTATGAGATTTCCCTTTTGCATTTCGATCGTCACATGGCCGCGAACAAAGCCATCGGAAGTATTTCGTTCCACGTTGATAATTTTACCATCGGAAACAAGTACACGGCCGTGTCCAGCACGTGCGACCGCTTGAACAGCATTCTTACTATGATTGAATTTTGCTTGACCTTGATTTTGCAAGACAAAATAGAGACACATCATGAGCAAAACTATGTGAATGAACGCTTACCGAGAAACCATGCACGAGAGACGCTATGAGCTGAAGAATATTTCCGCAATTGCTCACCATTTATTGGTGGTAAACAAACACCAACGATTAGACCACGTTTAGTGCATTCTATTCGAAACATATCTTCTAATTCTTTCGGGGTAGATACCAGATCTTCAGTGCACATGATTGTATCACCATGTATGTCACATAAGCTAGCAGGTGTTGGACAACAACCTTCGATAAAAGCTAATAAATGGGTTAAACATGGAAAAGCTCTGCCAATTCCGTCAGCATCAATACAATATAAATCCTTATTTGCTGCGACAATCAAACCCATGAGACCATTGGCACCACCAATTTCTCCACTAAAAATACCAGCAAATTTTGTCGACAGATGCTTTTCGAGCGCATCCACAGCAGTAGCACATTCCAGTCCACTAGACAACAATTCATGAGAAACAGTCGGTACACCCATGAAACCAACAGAAACAACTAAATCCGATGAAGACTCGTAGTATGAAGGCGGTACTACATACATCTTATGTTTTCCTTGTTGAAGGATATCAAGGCACCATAGTTTCGAATGGTAGACTTCTCCACCACCTCCACAACCTAAAATGAAACTTTTATTTGTTTTTCTGATCACAGAACGATAATGGTTTACCAAGAATTCCTGCGCCATAAGCAATGTATTCAATATCAATCGGATCAATACACCAAACACCTTTCTCATCGAAGACTGGCTGTTTCTTTGTATAATCAACGTGTACAGGCGGTTTGATATTCATTGGCAATTCCTTTATAATATCGAACGAAGGTCCTTCCGTTGATTTCCTCTGCTCATTTTGCTTAAATTTGCTTAAATCTAATTGTCCGATTGCCGTTAATTGAACTCGATGTTTATAGCCACCTGAATGGTAAGATAATGGGATCAATTCTAGTTCTGACAACTGAATTGTTGTTTTTCGAGCTCCATTATGCTCACATTGTTCCTGAACTTGCAGAACTAATCGATCAAGTTCAGCTTTACGCTGTGTGCCTCCGTCCACAGATGTTGGAACAAGATCTGTAATGAGATCAAGAGTTCCACTTACTGAACATAGAGCAGCACCCACAGCATTGCATACAGCAAAGTGATCGGGACGTATCATCTTTCAAACAAATGNGAAAATATTGGATTCGGTGGATATGTTGCAAATCAAACAAAAAAAGCAAATATGTCGTTGAGACTTATGTGTGAATACTAGCGATGACGGCAAAGAATATAATCAGATAGATCCACCCAATCACTCCACCGATTGTAGCAAGAATATTGAACACTAATGCCAGAATGCTAAAAGTACGCGCTCCTGAAGCATCGTTGCTGTTCTTGTGGGAACGACAAATGATCGAAAAAATAAGAGGTAAAAGACCGCCACCCCATCCAACGAATATATTGATAATAGACCAAATAAGCCAATCGTGAACTTGACTAGCATCACCTCCGTATGCGGGAGCTACGTAAACAACACTGGGTGGAGCGCCATAGGATGGTGAAGCACTATAAGTGGCCATGTTTCTTAGGAGTTGTTAAAGTGTAAAATTTTCATTAAAAACGCACCTTTTTATACAAATTTTTGACAGATAAGATAGTGTTTTTCTTGGATTGTTGTTTGAAATACGTCATCAGAGTAACACTGCTTAACAATGACAAGTTGTGCAATGACATCAAACAGGGACGACGTGCGTCAATGTTTGTTTGTGGGTGGATGCGTTGTCCTGATATCAGCTCTCTGTAGTTACCGATGGTTCCCGAATGAAACATATCATAATCAACTGACAACAAGACAGTCTTCTTCTATTCCATCCCGACGATGTTTGACCGTGTATAGAAGTGCATACAGGTTATGCTACACGTCCGTCCGTACTTGCGGGAAAAGAAATATTAGCCGGATATATATATATATCCGGCTAATCGGAGAATATTAAGAATGGGATCGGTGCGTTTCTGTGTTATTGATACGTGTCAACAAACTGCTGGAGCTGTTTGTATGTGTTGTCAAGAAACTTATTGCATTACTCATCTCAATGAACATTCCAATAGATTTAAAGCTGAATTGACGCCTTTATCGAATGATCTGGAGAAGATTTCTGTCAAAATAAGTACTGAGTATTTGCTGATTCGTGTTCACTCAGTTGATGCACTCAAGAAGTGGCAAAAAGAAGCTCACGAAGCAATCGATGTTTTCCACAAAAGAAAACAACAAGAATTCGAAGAGTTTTTCGACAATCAACACGAAAATCATCGTAGAGAACACGCCAACTTACAGACTCAATTAGATCAACTCAAGAGCAAAGAAGATCTCAATCAAGAAGACATTGATTCAATTACAAAATCAGTTCGATCATTCGAGCAACAAGTGAGCCTCTATCGATATCTTCAATTAATACTTTCACCATTAACAATCGATGAGCAATTTGTTACTATTCATCAAAAACTACCAATCGTCGATGATTATTTACCTCTTTCGGATCCACAACAAACTATAGAGATGAAAAGAAGATCGTTTTCCATTGCTGCTAATGATAATCTCATCTTAATAGAGCAAGATGCAAAACTATGCCTGACAGATCAGCAATTGACGATCATAAGAGAAATACCCTGGTCTCGAAGTACTATCCACGATATGATTTGGTCAAATACGCTCAAGATATTCTTTATCATTACTGGTCAAGATATCTTTACCCTTCATGAAAAAGCGGATATTGTCAAAAAACTTTCGATTACGGATGCAGACACTAAACATTGGTATTGTGGCACATGCACCAGTGATAGTCTGTTTCTTTCAGTCATGGGCCTGAATCCTTTCATTTTCAAATATTCTCTTTTACCCTCGTTCCGGTTTACTAAGAAATACTCGTCTATCGTTTACCAACAAGAGGATATATTTGTTCAAGATCTCTCCTCGAACAACCATATAATAGGTATTCTTTCGGAAACCAAACAGAAAACGATCCTGTTCGATATCTATTCGTCAACATCTTTCCAACGATATTGGACAATCACAGCTGATTGTTTGACAGGTTTACATGGAAGTCGATGTTGTTCTTTGACGCATAATCAATGGATGATTATCAATCCGAACAATTCGCAGATTATCTATGTTTCTGCTGGTGGACACATATTCAAAAAAGAAAAATATTTCGCATCACCAGTTCATGCAGTTCAACTCAATAGCAATATTCTCGTGATATTGACAGAAACTTATCTGAATCTTCACAAGCTACTGTGAAATCTTTTCTAGGATTTATTGTTTTCGATATTAGAATAAAAAAAGAGAGAAAGTTTATTTAATAGTTTTTCTTATAGAAAACATCCCAAACCGATTGTATTGGTGCATAAGACGGCACATATTCATAATTTGAAAATTCATAACCGAACGCTTTGATACCAATATGTTCCAGTACATGCGGTGCTGTCAGAAGTTTTGGCGCGGGTAGAACAAGTACGGAAACACGATAACCATATTTGATTGTTTCAGTGGAAAGTGGCTCAGCCGTATCTTGTTCAACAAGTGTGATTAGATCAGGTACACTGGCAAGAACATCGCCGTTCTCAAGCCGTGCAACGAGATTTTCATTTTGAAAATCAATGATGAGATTTCCTTCTTGCATTTCGATCGTCACATGGCCGCGAACAAAGCAATCGGAAGTATTTCGTTCCACGTTGATAATTTTACCATTGGAAACAAGTACACGACCGTGTCCAGCACGTGCGACCGCTTGAACAGCATCCTTACTATGATTGAATTTTGCTTGACCTTGATTTTGCAAGATAAAATAAAGACATCACGAGCAAAACTATGTGAATGAACGCTTACCGAGAAACCATGCACGAGAGACACTATGAGCTAAAGAATATTTCCGCAATTGCTCACCATTTATTGGTGGTAAACAAACGCCAGCGATTAGACCACGCTTGATGCATTCTATTCGAAATATATCTTCTAATTCTTGAGGGGTAGATACTAGATCTTCGGTGCACATGATTGTATCACCATGTATGTCACATAAGCTAGCAGGTGCTGGACGACAACCTTCGATAAAAGCTAATAAATGGGTTAAACATGGAAAAGCTCTGCCAATTCCGTCAGCATCAATACAATATAAGTCCTTATTTGCTGCGACAATCAAGCCCATGAGACCATTGGCACCACCAATTTCTCCACTAAAAATACCAGCAAATTTTGTCGACAGATGCTTTTCGAGCGCATCCACAGCAGTAGCACATTCCAGTCCACTAGACAACAGTTCATGAGAAACAGTCGGTACACCCATGAAACCAACAGAAACAACTAAATCCGATGAAGACTCGTAGTATGAAGGCGGTACTACACACATCTTATGTTTTCCTTGTTGAAGAATATCAAGGCACCATAGTTTCGAATGATAGACTTCTCCACCACCTCCACAACCTAAAATGAAACTTTTCTTTGTTTTTCTGATCACAGAACGATAATGGTTTACCAAGAATTCCTGCGCCATAAGCAATGTATTCAATATCAATCGGATCAATACACCAAACACCTTTCTCATCAAAGACTGGCTGTTTCTTTGTATAATCAGCGTGTACAGGCGGTTTGATATTCATTGGTAATTCCTTTATAATATCGAACGAAGGTCTTTCCGTTGATTTCCTCTGCTCATTTTGCTTAAATTTACTTAAATCTAATTGCCCGATTGCCGTTAATTGAACTCGATGTTTATAACCACCTGAATGGTAAGATAATGGTATCAATTCCAATTCTGACAACTGAATTGTTGTTTTTCGAGCTCCATTATGCTCACATTGTTCCTGAACTTGCAAAACTAATCGATCAAGTTCAGCTTTACGCTGTGTGCCTCCGTCAACAGATGTTGGAACAAGATCTGTAATGAGATCAAGAGTTCCACTTACTGAACATAGAGCAGCACCCACAGCATTGCATACAGCAAAATGATCAGGACGTATAATCTTTCAAACAAATGACGGGCATAAGATTAAAAAAAAAAGCAAATGATCAGTTTACTTTAGTTACGCCTGGAAAGGATTTATTTTGGTCGATAAGAATGCAACCACCGCCACATAGAATAACTGGAACTGGCTCTGGATTTGTTTTCATTCGATCGACGCCATTTGTCACTGTTTTATTCACATATTCGAGGACTTGTTCAATAATTTTTGCAGGTAGCTTAACATCACGATGACCAATCTAAAACCGATGATGAGTCAATGAAATCCTTTTAGCTATCGATAAAGATTTTCACCTCTTTGACTAGACCAGCCGCAAGAGCCACATCAGTAGCAGTAACTGTTCGTCCTCCAAACGCTAGAGCTTGTTGTTCAAGTTGATACGCGACACTATTAGGTCCGACTTGAACAGATTGATCTTCTTCAGTCACATGAATAATTGTACCACCACCCAAGGGTAACGAATATGTGTCAGGAACGGTAACGTTCACTCGAATATCGTCGACTAATTTTATATTCTGAATTATATTTTAGCGAGTATTCAAAGTGTAGATGAATATCAACGAACTTACTGCGTGTGTTTGTCTCGGTCGGCCGTTAACAATGACACCGAAATCGATTGATGTTCCTCCAACATCGATGACAATACCATTTTGAATGCCACTCAGATGGGCTGCACCGATCATAGAATTCGTTGGTCCACTAGCAAAAGTAAAGACTGGCCATCGTGTTGCATCTTCAGACGAAAGTAATGTGCCGGTATTTCTTGTAAGAAAAATAGAAGCGTCGTGAGGAAGGAAATCTTTAAGCATTCCGATCGTCCGCATCGCTAACGGGCGAAGACAAGCATTGAGTATCGAAGCATTTTCTCTTTCCAATAGACCAAGACCAGCAACTTCATGCGAAAGTGTAACATATGCCGTGGGTGATTCTTCATGTATAATCTCTCCAACACGAACTTCTTGATCAGTTCGACAGGGTGAAAAAACGCCACTAACACAAAATGTATTAATATTCAAAGCGAGAGCACGACGAACAGTCGACCGAATTTCTTCCTCGTTCAATGAACTGATCTCCGATCCATCGAAGAAGTAACCACCGGAAACTAAAGTAGTCAATCCATCGACCTAAAAGTGCACAGATTAGTACAAGGAAAAAAGCCGATCGAGTTTCCTAGTACTGCATGTTTTAAATCTTGTGGCCAATTTGACATCGGTGCGATGGAATGTGTTGCTGGCCCGCAAAGCCGTAAAATGCAAACTTTAGCTAGATCCCGTCGTTGAATCAATGCATTGATGAAATGTGTTGTACCAACCACAATAGCATTTACACTGTTGTTATGCACAACTTGTTTCACGGCGTGAATCAAGCCTGAAAACACATCTGAAGTTGTTACTACTTTCACAGCAGTAACTACTTTGGGTGCTAGAGGCAATATAAACAAATGATAAATAGTCGCATAGATCGAAATGACTTACATTGATCATCTTCGATTCTTAGTAGAACCGCATCTACAATTATTAATCAAATTATGTGCATCTGTGATCAATGAAAGTAACTTTTATATCTACCTGTATTTGTACCACCGACGTCAACACCAATAATATGCATTGTATACTCTCTATCGTACTGTTTCGTTGGTTTAAATACGCACGATTCTTTTTCTCTTTCCTCTATTAAAAAAAAAGGAAATATAACTAGTTGCGCAAAAGAATACTATGTCGGCATACACCATGTACATGTTTTCGGTTAAGTAGGTACTCACATGTTATGATATTCTCTATTCACTCTGATCAAAGCACGAAGGTAGTACGATAGAATGTAACTCGATAAAAGTAATGCGAATACTTCTCAAGCGTGGGTTAATTTAGCCCTTTGGTTACGGGTGACCGATATATTGGCACCAGAGGACGAGTTATAACTCGGGTTGTAACTTTTAAGTGATAACTAATTAACTTTTTAGACGAAAAGTTAAATTAGCTGTAACTATTAACGATGATTATAAGTGTCAACCATCGTCATAACCTCCAACCAGAGTTATAACTCCTCTACTTTTAACTTCCACTCTCATGCCTATATATAGGTCACCCGTAACCAAAGGGTTAAAATAGAAGGTTCGATTTCTCCCTTATACTCGTATCTCACTCAGCTGTTCTTTCTATTGTCCACTGTTGTTAACCATTGACAGATCGATTTCGTTTGAAAAGAAATTGAAGTTTCTTGCGAGCACTGGGAATATAAGGACAGTTTTCTCTCATTTACACCGTCAATATAGTTTATCTTGCAGAAATCGAACTATAGCAGATCAAGGGAAGAGGATAAAATTCAGAGGTAACTTTATTTTATGAATCTTCCAAAAGGTAAATCAATGGTACAAACGTTCACCAACTGAACTAACTCTAAATCAATCCAATTACAATTATAAATACTATAACTAAGAGGGATTATGAGAGAAAAAAGTGAGAAGCTTAGCACATATAGATCTATATTAAGCAACTGCTTATTGGAATAAGTAAGTGTTTTTATTCTGTTCCAACGAAATGTCTTCTTCTATTCAATTCACAACATTCCTTTGATTTTCATTTGGATCAACGTGCTCCTCAATTTATCTTGATCAGCTCCATGAACCGAAGGGGCAAATCCATCAACGCCATGTATGGCATAGGTTCCATTCAAAGAATTCTGTTCTTCTCCTCGAGTGACACCTTCGACAGCGCCAGCACTTAAAGCAGTTTCAATCATTTGGATCACTTGATCACCCGTCGGAATCAGATCAAGTCGATTTTCTTTTGCTGCAGCAACAGAAGCAATGGCCTGTAAGCCAAGGTTAGAATTCCAAGATGTAACAGGTATGTCCGAATACACTCCACTTCCAATAATAGTTTTTCCGTCTGGTGCCAATGGGATCATATCCTTCAAATTAGCCATACCAGCTTCATTGCCGCCGTCACCAACAGCAATGATAATACCCTTACCTTTGAATTGAACAAGCATCTCATCCACGGGTGGATTCCAGTCATCGATGTTCTTGCCAATCATATTTCGACGAACGCCATCATACCAGTTTCGACTTGAGAGTTCACCAGTGAGTATTGCTTTTGATTGAAGCGCATTGAGAAGTCTTTGTGCTTCAGCAATCCGCTCTTCTTCATTGTGTGAGGAATTGAACTCGTAAACATGACTATCATCATCTTTTCGTGATTTCAAACAAGCACGAAGAATCTGACACGTCACAGGGTCAGCAACATAGGAAACATGGTAAGATAGTTGTCGAAAGATTTCACCAGCAAGAACTGCACCTGGTGGACCATCACTTTCGGCGACGGGTGTTTTCTGGTTGTCGATGAGTTTTTCGGTTACACAGAAACCAGTTAGAACAGTAATTGATGAGTTTTTAGGGAGTCTTAATAATGTTTCAGCAGCTTTTTCAGCACTACCTGGTGATGCATAGAACTTCGACAAATTTCGCATATCATAGCTACCGAGAATATAATCAACAGGTGTCAACATTTTTGAAGACAATGCAACTATAAAAAAAAAGAATTTATCTAATTTAACGATACGAATATTAGTCACCACTACTAGCGACTCCCATCGCTATCTATGTAAAGAAGAATAAATGAATGTAGAAATAATAAATATTTGTAAACCAATGACAAATGCCTCTAACGACTGTTTTTCATAAGCAAGGAAAGATGGACCGAGCGGATATACTTCTGATTCATATATCGATTTTATCTTTTTCTTTCTATCTATCTACTAGAATAAGTGTAACGCAAAGTTCACACTTAAAATTCTCTTGGATTGATGTGCATTAATTCTTTTATTAGAAATAAACCTTAATTTTAAATGACATATCATCACGAGCAGCACCCATGAATCCTCGTGGCACGTATACAAAATAGGAAATTTTGAGAAGCTCACATGAGACAAAAGACAACTTCTCGTACATGACTTGCTCAAACCTACCTAGAGCTGTCTA